AATGTTTGTGAACTGTCATTTCATAAAGAGCAGTTCTTTGAGGTAAGGCAAGAGTATTTTAAAGGAATGTACTCATTTCCCCAAAAGGTGAGGGTCTGCCATGTAGTTCAGCAATTCATTCCAAAATCCTATTCAAGAAAGCATTTCTGCCATGTGCAAAGTAACATACATATACATATATATATATATATATATATATGAGAACTATCTCCTCTACTTTGAAATTTAATAACAAGATACTTTCGTCAGAGGCACAGCCTACTTCCATGGTCTTAAACATGTTGATAGAATGATTTAAAAAATCTTGGGTAGATTAGTTTAAAAGCAGCTCCCATAATTAAATATGTACTAGGCAACTAAAAACCAACCACTGTTGTGGTTTCTACATGATGACCAAATGGTGACTTCATTACCACATTAACTTTCTAGTTAAACCTTTGCTCTCCAGTAATATAGGTTCCAGTTGCTAAACATATTTGTTTACTGAAGCTCAAGTTCAGCTGGTGGTCTATTTAAGTGCTGTGCGTAAGACTTCCTATAACTAGTTAAGAACATAGTATATAGAGGCACTGTATAAATTTTAGTTCAAGACTAAAATTATGTCCAAATACAGTTTTAAAGAATTCGATCAAGAATGTTGCATTTATTTGGTGCCTATTAATTTTCTTTTACCTTATAAGAAGCATTTAAACATAATATGCCTCAGCATTTTTATTTGTAGACTCCTCATTAATCACCTCGTAAAGAGTGTTTTTTTCAGATCTGGCAAGAATTTTTTTTTTTTTTTTTTTTTTTTATAATCTTAGGTTCCATGCTCAGCACAGAGCCTGACACAGAGCTTGATCCCATGACCCTGGGATCATGACCTGAGCCTAAATCAAGAGGCAGATGCTTAACACACTGAGCCATCCAGGTGCCCCATTACAAGAATATTTTAAGAGCACATTCTTTTCTAAAAAAAAAAAAAAAAAAAAAAAGTTAGCATGATTGCCATGTGGTTCAGCAAATCATCCCAAAAGCTGATAGTAAGGGCCTCTCTACTTTGATGGACAGGCCTCATTTTTGGCAGCTGTATTAGAGGTTTAGACTGAATGTCCAAGGTCCCTCCCTAGCTCAGATTTTTATAGTTGTAATCCCATGGTTACATGCACCATATTGAGTTTTATCTTCAGAGGCAAAAATCTGGGTTTAATATTTTAATCTTAAGAGTCTAATAGACAATTCTTATTTTAATTTAGTAATTTAGACGCAGCTGAACCCATACTGCGATGATAGTAAACTAGTCTCCTAGACACAATGGATGTAGGTGCTTCTGAATGTGTTGAGCCATTTTAAAGTTAACCTATTAAGAGAAATGGATCTTGACTTCTCCAGGTGACAATGAAACTTTTATTTCTAAAATATACTGTGCCAATATTATAACTTTGTCCGACACTATTGAGGTCTTAGATTTAATAAAATTTTAACCTTTTTAAAAGTGAAAACATTCAGGGAAATTTATGCTGATTACTGTTGAATGTTTCACATATTGAATAGTTACGGCTTATCTGTTGACATTTAAACTTACGGAAACTGATTAAACAATCTTCTAAACTGGCCTATCTTAACAATATTCTTTTTAGAATCTTTAGGGTGTAAGTATAAGGCTTAAAAATTTTTGCTTTTAAATTAAGTACTATGTTCAGCTTTAAATTTCCCCTTTGCCATTGTGGAAAGCAAAATTTTAAACTGTCTTATCTCCTGTGAGAATTTAAAACATGCACAAGGATAGACCGTCTTTCTTGTGAGAAATTTAAAGTAAAAGGTGAACTGTTTCATATTTACTAGTGTTTCTCCCGTTGTTCATTTTGAATTGTCTTAAATTCAGTGGTATATTTAAAAATATTGGTTACAATAGGTACTCATTAAGATGGTTTGTAGTTGAATGTCTAAGCTAGCAGTGTATTTTTTAAAAGTTAGTCACAGATTGATGGTACACCTTGTATTTAGCCAATTTGCATGTTGATAAAATTTCCTGAGTCTTTTTTCCTTAAATCCAATTACTGATCCTATAAAATAGTTATAATGCAGCATCATGAAAAAACTGGTTATGTGTTTCAACTGGTTTTAAGTGTTCCCAACAAAATCTTACATCATGTAGTATTTATTTTTTACTTAATGGAATTTCAGTGATACTTGGTGGATATTTCAAGCCTTTTTGTCTTTTACACAATGGTGCTCTATTCTATTGTTTTCAAAGAAGCATTTGAACACTTGGATTTGTGTATTCTTATCCAAAGGCATCCACAAATAAGTGGGTTTTTAAAGCTGATTATTTTTTCCCACTTACAATGCATTCTACAAACTCGTAGCGAATTGACTCTGAATGTCAGTAGTATGACTTGGGGAAAGGTGAACGTAGATTAAAGCTCTTATAAAAGCTTTAAACCAAACTATGGACTTGTACCATGATTTAATAGTATTCTTGGATCTTTTCTTGCACAGTGATTCATTCCTTTATTTGTACAGTAGCTCTGTGAAATATTGCTGTGAATTGATATTGTAATCAATAAAGTGCTTTTAACCAGACTGCATACAGCATGTTTTAATTTTAAAAATCACACTAAAACTTAAGTCTCAGAAGTAAACTCCAAGCCCAGTCATTTCATGCTCAGCCTTTTTTCCTTTATCTAAACATTGGCAATTATGAAATGAAAAATAGGCTGCTGGAAGCAAGGAATAAATGTACTTCACTTTACTGCTTTATGAATGCCAGCTTACTTATTAACCAGTTGATTGCTTATAGGATGTAGATAAAAGTATTCACTGTTGTCATTTCATCTCCACACCGTTGGAGGGAGTTGAGTACTTGGCTAGGCACATGAGCCATGACCCAAGATACCTATAGCCCTACTGCAAAACTTAAGATTAAAACTCACTAATGCCAGTAAAAATGTTACATTTATCAACTATCAGGCAAACAAGTTTTATTTTCACCTTGCATACTTATAAAAATGTAGTTCTATAAAAAGTTTGTTATACAAAGTTTATAAATAATCTCGCAAACGTACATAGTAATCAAGTATGTGCAATAACTTTGAACTACAGCTGTGAAATACATAATTTCTGTATAATTCACGGGCTTAGTCATAGATGCACTTATCTCCAGGCATAAAGGTTGAGTTTCATTATTTTAGTGTTCTGTTTCCAACATTCATGCATTTTCAAACTTGATCAGGTGGAAATGCATTCAAAGTAGTGATGGAAAACTTACTATAAATTGACTATACCAGAACCACTATTCCAGTATTACCCCAACTTTAGTGTGCATCAGGATCACATGGAGGGCTTGTTAAAACAGATGGCTGGTTTCCAAACCTAGTCCTGGATTTAACAGGTCTGGGGTGAGACCCTGCAATATGTATTTCTTAGTTCACAAGTGATACACAGATAATCCAGAGGTCAAACTTTGACAGGCACTGTACCATACTAATGAGGTGATACCAAACTACACTGTGTCAAAAGTTCAAGTACTTTTCATATAAAGATTAAGGTCTTGAACTTGTAACCTAAATTAGCAGTACCCAGAATCTTAGACATTAGTTTTTCATGTGGAATTTGTTACCTAATCCCATTTGTTGGCAGCCTGTACTATTTTTGGTTATAAAGCAACAAGCTATAAACTAGTATTTGGATTTGAATAGTGCATCCTAGTATCTGCTCTGCATAAAAACATTTTTGAAAGGCTTCTGTGGCCTAAAGAATATTATTTTCTCCTTAAGATATCCTGAAAAATAGTGCTGCACCTGTTATGAAAAGACTGAGTAGCATCCAGAAGCCTTAAAGGCACAAGAAAGGAAATAGTATTAAGAATAAAAGAGCCTAACAGGTTATCCCTCTACGGAAAAGGAGAAAGTATCCCTTGCCAAATGCAGCCATTATGCATCTAACAAGCATCTAGATGCTGCTGCTTTGGTGATCCTCAAGGCTACGTTTTGTGTAGCAAAGCCCTAGAATGTCATTTTTTCACGTTTCCATATAAGTTTAAATTAGTTTTTACACAGAAACAGACAATACTTGAACTCACGAACATTTCATTAAGTTAGAAAGTACAGTAATATTAACAGTGCCCTGGCAAATTCATACAATTAAATAAAAGTAAAGCCACCCGGGGGGACAATCCAGCAGTATCCTCCGCAAGTACCTTCTGAAGAACAATGGCATTGGTACAGGAATACAACCACCCAAAAGTCAGAGCTCCTGTATCTTTGGCTATTTTTATCACTTCAAACTTTGCTCCTAAAACTGAGATAGAAAGGTTTCCTCGCTGTAATCATAGTTGAAACTGAAAATGTTTCTTTAGAAACAGATCAGGCAACTATTCAGACCCAGAAATTTTTATACTTTTATAAGAGACTATAATAACAAACGTTTATACTATTTTACATCCATTTTAATGGGAAAAAAGAGTAAAAACAGTGTATTTATCAGTGGTTTACATACCTGCCAGGATGGCAAAAGTGATTGTGACTTGCATAAACAATACACTCAAGAACATTCCACTCTCCTTGATAGAGCAATGCAGTTTATAAAAGAAAAAAATGACCAGTCCCATTAAAGTAGGCATCAAAAATTAGTTTTGAGAAAAGACGAAATGAGCATTCTCTAACTCCTGGATGCCAGGAAGCAGAGTTTTTTCAGAATCAAAAACAAAGAGAGCCCTAATTAAGAACAAGGCCCCACCCCTCAGGGGTCACATAGTTGGTTCTGTTGCTTTTAACTAATTCATTTTAAACACAATTTAGCCTTTACTTTACCCAAAATTAAAATTAAAAAGACCTCATATAATACTCTTCAGAAATGCAAACACCCTGAGATAGATCATTATCAGAATCTACACAAGGATTTGCTACTTAGGTACAGTTAGTATAATTCATATTTAAAGTCATTTCATAAAAAAACTGTCCCAATCTTCCAAGTTCCATTTTCTCCTATGATGATCACCAAAGCAATCTCTACTGTTAAGATTCTTCTTCATTGCTTGAATGTAGAAACTGCTTAGTAAAATTCTCCAGCTCATTTTCAAGTTGAACGGCTTTATTTCTAATTTAAAAAAATGAATAAAAATACCAATCTAATTATCATAAAGGCCAGTGAGAAAGAAATGCATTCCATCCAATCTTCAAAACAAAACAAAAAATCACTAGTCAGGTGCTACTACATGTATCTGAACTCCTATTAAAATATTATCAACCTTTTTAGAGTACGTATGTGTGCTACTATGGCTTTGCTGTAAACGCAGAATCCAATGTCCAGAACTTAAAAAGGTATACTGAAATAAAAACCAAAAACCTGACTAAGAAAGAATGAAAAGCATTAAGAGACCATGGAGTCCTATTACCTTACATGGGAGTTATATCCTAAGTCACAGAATCATAATTGTCCCTGAATTCCCTTTAAGTTAAACAATGTATTGAACAACGGGTTTTATGTATACATAAAGTAGGCATCAGATGTCAAAGGACTGTGTATACCAAAAATCTTTTTAAATACTAGAATCATACTTGATGCAGCCAAATACCCTAATGAGATGAAAACAGGAACTAAAACTGATAGAAGAACACAGATTTGCCTCCCATTCTCATACCATGCCAGGGCACACACACACACATACTTGGGTGAGCTTTTCTCTCTTGGTCTTGTTGCTGGGGGCATATAGTCAAGTTCATATAAGTTAATGGACACATGAACTACACTGTATGCTTCTTCAGGCAACTTTTAATTAGGTAACTTAAATTCTATCTGAATTGCGGAGCCTAATTAGTAACAGTGGGGATTCTAAATATTATGGGATTTATTTAGAAAAAGGATTAGCACATAAAAATTATTCATGCTTAAGTCCTACAAAAATCAAAAAGCTACAGCAAGTGCCAATAGTATCATTTGTTTTACAAGATGAAACACTACTAAAAAAAAAAAAACCTAAATAAAAACAACTACTGGATATAGTTTTACTAAAGGCTGTATTTGGGATGATCTAACTTAAAAGAGCTGCAATGGCATAAATGAAATTTACTTGGGAGTGTGTGTGTGTGTGTGTGTGTGTGTGTGTGTGTATGAAAAGAGGCTGGGGTCTAAGTGATAGGCCATCATCTTTTGCAGAGATTATGAAACCAAGGTGCAATAACAATGTAACTGCTGATCAGATTAAGACACCATGGATAGACATGACCACAGGTGTTTATGTCCCAAAATTCAGCTCACAAGGACAGCCTCTATGATTTGGAGACATTGCAGGCTGCTCTTATATGGGCATTTTATGTAACACAAGCCCTGATAAGTAGCAGCAGGAATTAAATGATGCTTAATGATACTCATAGGTGAGCCAGCTAATTGGTAAAAGCTGAATGTCAGGACTACCAACAAGGAGCCACCTCATGGTGACACTTCTGGTCAGGTCCCCAAAAGCAAACTTTAGTTAGACCCCACAGAATCCATGATAAATCATATTAAACCAGAATTCCACATATTAGGATATCTTGTTTACTCTTGTTGCTTCAAATTTTAAGCACATCCACATCCCCCAATGAGAATGGAAGTTATGGGTCTTGGATATACAGGACTAAAAACTCACACTTTTTAATTTTAGAACATCTGTTATGAACGGGGATTAATATAGCTCAACATAAAGTTCTATCTAAAGACCTAAAAAATTCCTTCTAATTCAGATTTGTTTTTTCTTGTTGAAATTAGCTTTCATTGAAAATGCAAAACATATGGAATTAAATATGGATGGAATATAATAAGCCAATGCAGAAAGTTTTAATATAATTATATTTAGGTAATGAGACCAATAAACATTCATATTATCAAGAAAAATGTTCAAATACCTTAAGAACTTTGAATTGCTTTGTATTTTCTCCAGTTGATCTATTTCTTTGGATAATCTAGCAATTTCTTCTTCCAGATGTCTTTGTGTAATATCAACTTGTTGGCACAGGCGAGCAAAAGTGGTTGCCATTTCCCTTAAAAGAAAAAATGTTTTCAGCAGTCATGAATGTCTTTGAAAATGAATGAAGCTTTAATTTAAAGCTTATATAAAAAGATCACAAGTTTAAAATATACGTAAAGTGTAAGGTATCAAAGAACACTGTTAGGAATGGTATAAGGGAGGATATGGCACTAAGGCTTAATACCACTGTAGGCTTAATTTCATCTGGCCTCAAGACAAATGCTCACTAGGCAGTATGAACCTCTACTATATGGTTGTGAATATGAATAAGCTATAAAAAGGCAAAAGATGGGTATATTTCCTCAGAAACACAATAAGACTTACGAGTCCTTTGCCTACAGAAATAAATTACTGAGAACAGGCAAGAAAACTTCATGAGCTTTTGTGACTTGCACAAAAAACACTATTTTTTTAATGTCTATTTTATTTTTGAGACAGATTGCAAGCGGGGAAGAGAGGGAGGCACAGGATCTGAAACAGGCTCCAGGCTCTGAGCTGTCAGCACAGAGCCCAATGCGGAGCTCAAACTTGTGAACCACAAGATCATGACCTGAGCTGATCAAGTCAGATGCTTAACCGACTGAGCTACCCAGGCACCTCAAAAACAAAAACTTTATTTTTTTTTTAATTTTTTTTTCAATGTTTATTTATTTTTGGGACAGAGAGAGACAGAGCATGAACGGGGGAGGAGCAGAGAGAGAGGGAGACACAGAATTGGAAACAGGTTCCAGGCTCTGAGCCATCAGCCCAGAGCCCGATGCGGGGCTCGAACTCCCGGACCGCGAGATCGTGACCTGGCTGAAGTCGGACGCTTAACCGACTGCGCCACCCAGGCGCCCCCAAAACAAAAACTTTAAATCATAGCAACATTAACCATGTTCCTACAACCAAATGGCTCAATTTGTGTGCTAATCTGTTAGCTTTGGCAAACATATTTTTGCAACAGGAAAGATGTCTAGTAGGGGTGTACCTCTGGAATATGATTAACTGACTTTTCTTTGCAACTATTCTCCTGTGCATATTCATCTTTCCCATGGCCTTTTTTCTCTCCATTCTCACCCCATTCTACCATAAATCAATATTAGACAAATTAAGCATCTTGCATTATTTCATATTGCATTAATATTTAGCTCATATTAACTGAATAATTATTTGAGGCTGCTTCCGTTAGAATGTAAAGTCTTCTAAGAAAGAGGATCAAGTTATCTCTAACTTTTTATTTCCCACAACCCCCTCTAGCAGAATTATTAGCACATGGTAGGCAATTAATGAAGACCAAATGAATGGAAAGCTTAACTTTATTTTTACATATGTGACCTGAGATGATTTCTTTTGGAGGTCTAGGTATCTTTATTAGAGAAAAGATCTTCCTTAATATAAATAAAATGAAAACTACCGTATAAAACAGGAGTTCAATAAATATTTGGTAATATTCAGTTATCTCAAATCTGTGCCCTGTTTCCATTCTCTACAGCTCTATGTTAGTACGGGCTTTGACCTTGTGTCTGAAAGTTTAATCTCCTTGCAATTCTTGTCTCCTTAACCTAAACCATTCTATATGCCACACCACTGCAGTTATTTGTTCCAGAGCTAAACGTTAATGACATCTTTCCCCAGACTTCTAATTATCTAAGCTCCTGTCCTAGTGTTAGGTTTATATTCAAATGTACCCCTCTGATATACATATCTGTCACATCGAAATTTTCTCATGTTTCTGAACACACTTCTTTTCCCCTTTCTTTGCTTTGGGGTGTTCTCTCTGCCTACATCTTTTTATTCTATTCTGGCTACCTTGTAGGAAACCCTTATTGACCCACTAGCTTTCCTGATTTAAGATTCTAAAGCCTCACATTATGAGGCTTACTTACCACTTTTCACTTATTATAATTATGTACATGTTATTTCCTTCACTAAACTACAATCATCTTCAGCTCAGAGAACTTTTTAATTTAGGTCTCAGTAGCATCCAAAAATTGGCTATTTTGCATTGATTTAATTGGAGTTCTATATATTTTTACTAGATCAATGAAACAAATTTTAAGACACATAAAAGAAATTAGCGGACACCAGTATTATTATAATAAAATTCCCTTGAGTTCTAAAAGAGTTATGCTTTTAGGGGCGCCTGGGTGGCTCTGTCGGTTAAGCGTCTGACTTCGGCTCAGGTCATGATCTCATGGTCCATGAGTTCGAGCCCCTATCGGGCTCTGTGCTGACAGCTCAGAGCCTGGAGCCTGGTTTGGATTCTGAGTCTCCCTCTCTCTCTGCCCCTCCCCCGCTCTCACTCTGTCTCTCTCAAAAATAAAGATTAAAAAAAATCTTTTAAAAATAAAAATAAAAAAATAAAAGAGTTATGCCTTTAAACTTGTAAACCTGGGCTGTGACAGTAAAAATAAATTACACTTGTCATTACGCATTTTTGAACCTACTAGGTTGGTATCATTCGATTTTTTCACCTTGGTGGTGATTACAAAGTGTGTTCACATTGTGATAGTTCCTTGAGCAGTACTTTTGTGCATTTTTTACATGTATGTCATAGTTCAATAATTAAAAAAAAAAGAAACAAAGACACATCTTCCAACTTACTGTTGTACTTGATGGCTACAGTTTGCACTCGTGAAGCTGACAATCATCTGCAGTTTTTCAGTTGCATAGTTCACAAACTGCTGTTTAAAGGCTCTCTCCTTAGCACGCGTGGTCCAGGTCAGCCTTTCATAAAGATACAAAGCTCCATACATACTCAATGAAACAGATATGAGTTTCCAGCCTACAGTTTTCCAAATCTGTAAAGATAAATTCACAGGCTACTTTGAGAAAGAAAATCACCATTAGGGGCATTGTATATTAAGGCATTTTAGCAAACTCATCAGCTCCCTAAAGACCTTTGACTCAAATCTATTTTTTAAACAAATATCAGACAAGAACTTTTATAACCCGCCAGACATTTATTTGGTAAATTGATCTAATGTTATCTCAAAAATGGATGTGAATTTTTTTTTTTTTTAGGTCACAGATTTTAAAAAACCAAAACAAGTAAACTCATATTGTTCATGATGTGAAAAAATATTTTACATATATGTACCACTACTAATCTTTAATAATCTTTAATACTTGAAGGCAGATCCCTTTGGTATTCAGAGAAGGCTAGATAAGGAACCTGGATCATTCTTATTACACCAATGTACAAATATCATTTCTTTATGTGCTGTAATGTGAAAATAAGCACTGTTTAAAGGACTAGTTAGTTGGTGGTATTTTTCTCCCTAAAGAAGTATTTGGTAAAAATTTATACTGTGGAAATCATTTTGCAATATCCGCTTTTATGAAATCATTATGTTGTATGCCTAGAACCAATACAATGTCATAGGTCAACTATAGTTAAATTTTAAAATATATAGTTTTAAAAACTTAAGATTAGACCTGTGAAACTCCTCTATTCACTAATTTAACAACTTTTCGTGTCATTTTATAGATCCTGGAAATAAAAGTAAATATACCTTTCTTTTCATCATCTAACAAAAAGCTCTGCACAAATTCCAATTTTAATTATACTAAAAAGGACTTCTTACCACCCCTCCAACAACGATGATGCCCATAGAAGTTCTAGATGTGAGAGAAGCTAATCCCGTTATTAAGGTAACCATGAGTTCTTCCTGTGATGCATTGTCTGGCGTTGCTGGATTAGTAGGAGCAGTGGGAGTAGAAGCTAAAGATCTGGGGAGCTGGTAAGGCTGGGGAAAAAGGATTATTATAATTAAACCACTACAAATGGTACAGTTACATTTATAAAGTTCTATTGTATTTCTTTTATAATTACAGTAGTAAATCTATAAAAAGAATGACTCCAATGAGTTCCCAATAAATACATTAAGAAAATAAAAATGGCCTGAAAATTATTTTCTGTGACCAATATTGAACCAATGATATCACGACAAATAATGAATTTTCACACTATATTTCACGCTATAGTAGGCCCTCAACCCTCAAGAGGAATTAAAACCTTATTTTAAAATTCTCACACCAAAAACACATCCTCAAAAAAAAATTGGGCTTAAAAATTAAAATGTTCTACACTTCAAAATACACCATAAGAAAATGGCTTAAAAGCCAAGTCACAGACTAAAAAAAACTTATTTGGATATCATCTGACAAAGGACTTGTATCTAGAGAATATATACAGAACTCCTGCAAGTTACTAAGAAGCCAAATAACCCAATTTAAAAATGGGCAAATGATCTGAATAGACATTTCACAAAATAAGATATACAAATGGCTAATATAAGCACATGAAAAGATGTTCAAACTCTTTAGTCATTAGGGAAATACAAATCAATGGTACATGAGATACCATTTCACACCCACTGAATAAAAAAGATGGACAATAACAAGTCTTGATGAGAATGTTGAGAAACAGCTGGTAACAGAAAATAGCATAGCTGATTTGGAAAACAGTTTGGCAGTTCCTCAGAAAGCTAAACATGGAGTTACCAATTGGCCCAGCAATTTCATTCCTAGGTATATACTCAAGAGAAATGAAAACAGATGTCCACATAAAAACAGTACATGAGGGGCACATGGGTGGCTCAGTTGGTTAAGCATCCAACTTCAGCTCAGGTCATGATCTCACAGTTTGTGGGTTTGAGCCCCACATCGGGCTCTGTGCTGACAGCTCGGAGCCTGGAGCCTGCTTCAGATTCTGTGTCTCCCTCCCTCTCTCCCACTCATGATCTCTCAAAAATAAATAAATGCTAAAAAAAAAATAGTACATGAGTGTTCAAGAGCATCATTATTCACAGTTGCTAAAAAGTACAAACAACTCAAGTGTCCATCAACTGATGGATGAATAAAATGTGTGGTATCTATAATGGAATATTATTCAGCCATTAAAAATGGAATATTTATATATGCTACAACATTCATGTACCATGATGATGAATCTTGAAAATATTATGCTAAGTGAAAGATGCCAGTCACAAAATGCCACATTTTTAATGACTCCATTTATAGGAAATGTCCAGAAAGGGCAAAATATGATATAGAAAGCTAACTAGCAATAGGGCTGAAGGTAGGAATGATTGAAGGACTACAAATGGGCACAACGGTACCATTTGAAGGTGACAGGTTCTACGACTACATTGTGGTGATGGTTTTACAACTCCATAAATTTTCTGAAAAATTATCAAATTGACAGATTCAAAACTTTTAAAAAAATGTTTGTATTAATCTAATTTATTTGAAGTCAAAACTTCAATTTTATTTGAAAACAAAAACTTCTGAGAAAATAAAAACCCATTTCAAAAACAAATGTGGAACAACCTACAACAATACTGGATGAAAATGCTGGGATTACCTCTCCCTTTGCATAGTCTGCCTAATTCAGAAATGGCTCTATTTGACAGACATTAAATCATATATATGCAGATTAGACACAGGAAGTTCTATTAGGGAAAATCACATAAGCAAAATAAAAAGGAGAATCTCAACTCATAGAATCAAAGATACATAACTGTGTAGTAGAGCAATAATCAAATAAAAAGCTTGCTCAAAAAAAAGAGAAAAAAAAGAGAAAAAAAAGGATACCTGGAAGATGGGCTCTGATAATCCTAGTAGCACCCTCTGAGCATTCGTCGGGCCCAGGAAACGATGGACAAGGGAAGACCAGCCCAGGGAAAAACGAAATACAATATCCTCTTGAAAATCTGAACATAACTTATGGCAATTTAGGTCATAGCTGAGATCAAATTTCTTGCAAGGAATCAGTGTATGTAGTTTATTTTGTATACCAGCTGGAAGTAATGGCTTCAAATTTTCTAGACAAAACAAAATTATATTTAAGAAATGACAGTAAATAATGTTTTATGTTGTATAAAAAACCTAAAGGAAAATAAACCCTTTACCAATGAAATAAAAAAATACACATAAACTTGTAGATACAAATATTACCAATAATTTCTTGCTGGGATTGAAGCATTGAAGCATTGACTTCGCTTGTGCACCGATCGGCTAAATTTCTTCCCATGCCATCTTCTATGTGCTTATTTAACTCCTGTTAACATGATAAATGTGCCCATTATTTTTTCTCTAGAACATACATAGATTTTACAAAAACTTTAAAAATGTAGTAAATGCTAAATCTTATTCTTAGAGGATAACTTTGCTGCGTGTTCTGTATACATAGTAGTGTAATTATCACAAGAGTACACAGGAGGTGTAACACTTTAATCATAAGCTGGTTGCCATGAAGATGCTATACCACTAAATATAAATGTACAATAAGGTGAGGAAACTGTATCTAAATAACTTTAAATACAATTTAACTTACATTTTTATATACTTTCAATACACTTGGAGTAGGATGAAACTCTGAACAAAATTCATCAACCAACACAGACAGTCGGCAAATTTCATCTGTCATTGCACATGACACCTGAAAATATGAAGTTAAAAAAATTAAACAAGATTACCAATTACTCCAAAAACTAAATTGAATACCCCACCCACTGAGCCAGCCAGGTGCCCCCTTCCCAGAAATTTTAATCATAAATTCACCAACCCACCTTGTTTGCCACCTCCTCTGTAACCTCCCTGATTTTTTTCTTAACATCCAGTGTTAAAAGGTTCATCTGGTTTCGGATAAAGTCCAGTCTATCAATTTGATCTTCCCTCTCTTCCATTGAATAAACCCTATTATAGTATGAAGAGTAATTAATTCTTAGGATATATTAAAGTCCCAAAGCAATTAAGTGAGGGTACTCACTTATGCACTGAACAATCTGTTAGCATGATACAAGAAAAATAATCTTGTATTTTCAACATCTAAAAGGATTCAAATAATATTTCATCTTAAAATATTTATAGAAGACTGGAGATAAACTACTTTGTCTCTCTGCCCATGAAGTATCTGAATCCCACAAAGAATCCACCCCCCACCCCCGCAAACTAAGAATTAGGAAGGATTCTCCAAACACAGATATGAACAGTCAAAATAAAACAAAACTCAGTACTGACTTCATTTAATAAACAAGGGTTAGCAAATGACATCCTGAAAGCCAAATCCAGCCAGCTGCTAGTTTTTGTTAAGGTTTTCTTAGGGTATAGCTATGACCATTCATACATGGCTACCTTTGCTCTAAAACTGAAAAACTGAGTAGCTGCAAAAGAAACAGATGACCCACAAAGCTTAAAATATCTACTATCTGGCTTTTATAGAGATTCGTCAACTACCGGATGGTATAGGAAAACAAAGACCTGAGACACTTTTAAATTATCTTTAGCTAAGAGTTCCCAAGATACGATGATACAAAACATCCTCAAATCACATCTTCTTTGTGGCATGTTCAGTTCAATGTCCTGTATTTTTAAAATTAATAATATTAAGGTCAATTGGTGGACCAAATACTCACTTTGGCTACTGTAATAAAGCAACTGAGCTGAAAGGGGTGTAAACGGCAACACAATCCCATACAGAAACAGTGGGCAGGGCCTGAGATCAGCCTGAGTTCTCAGTCTTGTGTTTTATGTGCTGGAAAATCTCTAATTCTGTACATAATGCATTCCACTAAAAGTGTCAACATTAGGCAATAGATTTAGGTATAAGTGTTTGTCTTCCCAGTAAGATCAAATGCTTTTAAAAATTCCCAATTTAATGTCATCTTTAACTTAATCTTTGATGCTTTATAACTTTCCTTTCTTTGGCTGAAACCCACTGATGGTATAATTAAGGCTGAACACTGTTAACTATCATCATATCTAATAACATCATCTTTGTTTCAAGTGTACCAACTTTGTGAGAACTACCCTTTTCTTCAATAATGTTGGCAATTTCATGCATTCATTTTTGTCTTTATAAGATAATAAATGGAATAACAGCACAGTACAATACGACATATAGGGTAGTGCTTACCAAACTGACTTTCTGGCCGGCAGGTAATATCACCTTGTTTGTTTACCAGTTAATGAAAAAAACCACAACTGGCATCAAAGAGGCATTTCAAGGTATCAGTGTATGAATATATGAAAAATTGGTCATAGGTTGAATGTTAACAAAAAAGAGGGTCACCTCTTTTTTGGACTTCTTCAAAAAATTCCTCTTGAAGAAATGGTTCTTCCGCTGCTTTAAAGATATTGTAAACTATGAAATATGTTATGATTTTACTCATGAGAATACTGAGATCCAAGGAATGTAAATGATGTATGCAAGGTTGTAGAATAAATATAATTTCAAATATTCATTTTAAAACATGCAAGTAAATTGATGACTTTAGTATGAAAGTACTTAAAATATAACAATTTAAAACCTTAGTCTAAGGAATTCATATTGATACAAAATGGCATTTGCAATAAAGTGAATTCCTACCTTTTCTCTGCTGCTGCCACGTTTACTGAATCCATTATGATTTTCACAGTATCTAGTATCTGTTTAGCTCTGATAGTGTGCTGTTCAAACTTTGTTCTCACTGCTGACTGCGAGATACACTCCTGCGAGGGGCCCAAGCCATAACACATTACTGTAATTCCATCCCAACATTTTCAGGAATTTAAACACAAAAACTTGCTGTATGTAACATTAACCAAAACATAAATAAAGGCAGAAAGTAAATGCATGATAAACAAAAGTTAAAATAACAAAGGCTAAAAAAACTACAAGGAATCAAAAGTAAAAAGGGCATTAACAGCAAGTTCGTATCTTTGTGTAATTTTACACAGTAATGTGCAATGGTTTTTTTGACTATTTTTAAAAATAAATAAATAAGCAGGGTATTGTTTTCAATGTTTAAAGCTTCTCTGTTGAAATTACTAATTTTATCTGATTACCTTTAATCTACTTCTATTCTATCTTGATTTTTCTCATGCTTACAACAGATAACCTAATAAAGTTCTTAACTGAGTTATGAATTAGAATTCTACATTTTAAGAAATGAGTTGAATGACATGTTTCACATAAGGTTATTTATTATAAAGGAATTCTACCAATTAAAACTTGAACAACTTGAAAGATATTCTTTAGCAACAAACAACCTAAATAATATTTTAAATTATTAAAAAAAAAAAAAACGGGGCGCCTGGGCGGCTCAGTGGTTACATGTCTGACTTCGGCTCAGGTCATGATCTCACGGTTTGAGAGTTTGAGCCCTGTGTCAGGGTCTGTGCTGACAGCTCAGAGCCTGAGCCTGCTTCAGGTTCTGTGTCTCCCTCTCTCTCTGTCCCTCCCACTCACTCTCTCTCTCTCTCAAAAATAAATAATAAGCATTTAAAAAATTTTAAAAGAAAAAGGAAAATATTTACAGCTATTTCAGAGACAATACACAGTTTGTGTACACAGGTCCCAATGATGCCCTATCTCATTTGTTTCACCTTCAAGCTAATTGTAGCTAATAAATCATTTACTGTACAAATCTGTTTCATGACCAGTGTTTTTTTAAAACAGAATACGTTAGAATGCATCACATATAGTAATGGATACATTTATACTGTAAAATGTTTCAATTTTGTTTCAATTTCAATGTGCATGCTACTTGTTATTTAAAATATTTACTGTGATTCATCATTAAATGTTAGCAAAATTATAATATTAAAATTGTCCTTTCATTTTTACCTCATAGAAAGTCAAATTCTGTACTGAAATAACATTTAAAAACAACTACGAGAGTTTACAGAGAAAGGCTATCTGGTCTTTGAACCATCAAGAAATGCTTGTCTGGGTCACAGCAGCAATAACTGACATAGATGTTTTGTAGGCAGCCACGTTTATTTTCTGTGAGGAATTTTTCAAAATCTGGTATATATCTCCATAATTTCCATGAATTCATCTTCTTGAACCTCTTTTTATATGTAACCAGTAGTAAAACTGTAGTAATTCTATCCTCTGTCAAAATAGCTTTCAAACTTTAAAAGGTATTCACTTAATACTCTAGTATTTGTCATCTTGGAATCATTAGTATGTTGAACATTCACTCAATATATTATTTATAACCTATGGTTAGCCTTCACAACTCTGAAGTGATTATCTGTTTCACTAAGACAGAGAACATTTTTAAAATTTCTTTTGCCAGTTTAGGTGTCCTTTTCAGTACTTTGAGATATGAAAAATAAAACAGATTTACTTCTTTAGCCAAAGGATACATGAGGGTAATTCATTTAGTTAACTGTTTATAAAGCCTTAACTCAAAGCCCATTACTTTCCTTCACCGCATAGCCTAAGTTTTGTTCATGGTTAAGCTTATTTACACATCACTCAACATCACTAATCCTGAATAGATTAGTTGAAGGAAGTTGGGGAGGGGGGATTTCC